TTTGATGCATATGCTGCTTTTTTGCAAATTTGCACTATAATATTTATTTTCGTTTTTCCTGCAGTATATAAAAATTGGTGTATTTTAAAAAATAAAACTATGAAGACACAAATAATAAATTTCCTGTGGTGGGAAACTATTTTGTGCAACTTTTTTGTATTTACAGTTTTGAGGGATAAGATTCTTAAATTTCTCTAGCTAGAAATATATGTTAAAAAAACAAAAACAATTTTCAATTTTTTTGTAGTTTATTGCACTTTTTTGCAATTTATGTAGTTACTATGCACTTAATGCATAAATATTATTAAAATTTGGGCTATAATGGTTGTATTGATGTATAGCAACTTGAAATGCTCCCAAAAATGGCTCTACAGCATGTAAAAATATAATATCAGCTCTGGCGGACTTGGTTCTATGGTAGGTCTTAAAGGGTTAACTAGATCTAAAGAATCTGTGACAGCTATCTTGGCATCCAGATACAGTTTAAATGCTGACTGAACTGTTTTGGTTCATTCCTCAGGGTAAATGTGGGGACAAAGTTGGTTTTTTCCCTGCCAACTTTGTGCAAAGGGTCCGACCCGGAGAGAGAGTGTGGCGGGTTATTCAGGGTAATCCCGGCCGAGAGAGAGGACACATGGCTGTGAGGGAATCCCAGGTATACTAATGTTGGAATACTGGTTTGAGACTTAATTTATTTTTGTTGATAGCTTCACTGTTTTTTCATTGTAACCATTAAAAGGCTATAATGGCAACCCAGCATACACTGATAATAGGATTCCAATTCTCAATTCATGAAATCTGTCCTGTGAAGGGTTTCAGGGGACTGAAGCCAAATCCAGTACACGCTGTGTGAGAAGTAGGGTGCATCCTGGTTAGAGAGCGATCAAAGGATTGGCACCAGCATTATCTATGTCTGTTTGTCTTTGCTATGAATAAGGCTCATCATTTCCAGATTGCATAGACCTTTAGAAAGAAAACCCACATTGTTTTTTTGACCTTCAGGGTCACATTCAATCAGTTTTCATCCACTGATTTTTATTCATATACACACAAAGAGAAAATTCATAGCGCTTAGTCACAAGTAAAAAATCCATAGGCAGTTTACACAATAACTTTCAAATTTTTTAAGGTCTGTTATTATTCGTTCTTTTAAAAACAGTTTTTATAGTGGTAAAAATAATCTTTTATTCTAGATTCCTCTTTGAAAACAAAGCATCTTATTTTCTGTCTCCTGCTTTTAGATTTGTGTGGGGAAACGAGAAGAGGGTGAGGTGTTTCTAAAGCTGAGCAGTGGAAAGAAGAAAGGGCTGGTCCCAGCTGATTCCATAGAGGAGATTTGAACCTTTGTGCACAGACCACCATCTTTCCACATCTACTTTCCCCAGGGATGCACCCATTTTAAAACTACCCCCCTTCTGCCTCATTCCCCTGGCTAAACAACTGCTCCAGCCTCTCCAACTGGTCAGCCAAACACAGAAAAACTAAAAACATAATACACACTTCTGCAAGGATCTGGAACCACAGCCCCTCATAAACACATGGTTTCCAGCTCAGCTGGTTGATTGTAAGCCTTTAATGGAGGGGGCAGTTATGCAATTGCCCTGCTCTAGTTCTCTTGTAGGTTTATCTTTTCAAAGCCAATAAATTGATGTTTAGTGGACAAGGGTGGTCAAAAATGCTTTAAAATGTCTGCTGGATGCCAGCTCAGATTTCGTTTTTCCTCATCAAAAAGACGTCTACCAGCGTGGGAGGAGGCTGAATCCTGTCATGGGAACATGATGCTTCTATCAGTGTCCTTTTCTTGTTTCTACCCACTCCGTGTGTCTCATTCCTATCTGCTAATTTCAGGGTCTCTGCCCTGGGGACTGATATCAGCTTCGTGTAGACTGCTACAACAATAGGCACTTGCCAAGAACAACCACTGCCAGCTATGGAAAGCTACTGCCATTTAGACAGACGGCAGGATAAGATGAAAGGAATACACCAGATCTGAAAATTGTCTGTAGTTTCTGGCTGAGTTACGACTGCACTCAATGATTTGAGAGTGCAAAAAGAAGAGGTTTTTCACACAAAAATCAAAAACGGATTCTTTTCATTATGAAATGACAATTAAAGTATGCTATAAAAATTATCCAGCATCTTTTAATTTCTGGTATGGAAGTCTGTCAAACCCTGTGAACATCACTATCTACCCAAAGACTCAGAGTTTACCTTTTCGACTATCCTTAAAACAAAAACATGAACTCCCAGGAATTGCCTGAAAATTGTTCCTTTCTTTTAAGTAAAATTTTATAGATTATTATGTCTGTCCACTTTTGAGACACAGCTGTGTTTGTCTACCGTCCTTATTCTGTTGTGTTACTATTGTACAAACGGATGAGGTAAAAGAAATCAAAGCTAAAAGGGAGGCAAATCTCTTTAGGAAGACTAGGGGGGTTGTTTGGGAGCTTGTTGTGACCACTGAGGAGGAAAAATGTCAACATCTACCAAGTTTAGAAGTTACAAGTGGCAGAAGGTGTTCTGCTGTTTTTCGCATGAAAGACCTCGGTGGGCATAAACCCGCCGGTTTCTGCAGGGACCTGCTGAAGAGCCTCAGTGGGATGTTGCAAGCGTTGCCCAGAATTTTAACATGTTCACTAGAGCTTGAAACAAGAGGGAAAAAAAACTGTAGCCAGTCTGCCTGAAAAACAACAGCACAATGGGGTTCCTTCTGACCATGACAAGGAGTTTCACTGACAGCTTAGAGGGACACAGGAAAACAGGAGGAGTAGGAGGCTGTGCAGTGAAAGGGATGACACGAGTGCTGAACCATTATGAGTCAGTGTACATGCAGGTAGTGTTGTACCCATGGGTGCACGAGTCATCATTGATCAAATGTCAGCCTGTCATCTCCATCTTCCACTCCCCGTTTGGCCTCCTTTGTCCTTATATTATTGATGTGACTGGTCAGTTCTGACGTAAAGTCAAGACATTTTTTAATACCAGTACATTTTGGATTGCTTAGAGTTCTACGCACTAAGTCATTATTTATTTAAAACACTTGACGCATTTCTTTCTTCTTCTTTTTTTAAAAAAAGTCCTTGTCCCTGAGTTTGCTTGTGGAAAATCAGGAAAGAAATCTAGAACTGAAGGACAGACTGCATTATTTAAATAATAAATTAAAACGCATTTTAGTTCACCCATCCTTTTCAGAGCACAAGGATCTAGCTGATTCCTTTTAGTCTGCATTTTTTGTGGAAGCCTTTAGAAGCTGTGATTTTTTTTCCTTTAAAAGCTTCTCTTGTCATCACGAGAGTAGCACTTTATTTTGAGTCATTTGAATAAGCTGTAATTTTGTAGATGTGTCTCCTTGATAGTAATACTGTAGATGTTGTATTTAAAAATACTTCAACTGCGACTTCACTTCACCATGAAGGTCTTTGTTGGCAGAGAGACAGCAGCATAAACAATACCACACTCCTGAAAACATATTCCAGGGGGGATATGTTGTCACGGCATAACTGGAAGTTTGATTTTACTCATCTAAAAATGTGCTATCATGAATTGTGTCTAATTTCACGTAGCATCTACTGTTTACACCTTAAAGACTTCAAAATGTTAAGTATGTGTTTGGATGTTTCCCAAATTCGTTGGTTGGCCGCGTACCTCAATAAAACATCTTTACAAAACCTGGTCTGCCTGTTTTATGCATGAAGTCTGTAACATGCTTTGCACAGTGAAATATTAAGGATATTCCACAGGAGTTGACAGTTGATCATTTACACGTCCATGTGACAAATGCATGTAGCTTTTGCTGTTTTTCTATATCTCTATTCAGTCTTTTTTAGCCTAGAGAGAGCACAGAACTCCTAAACGAGGCCACTTTAATGACAAGTTTCATTGGCATCCATGCATAATGCACCATCCTGCAGCCACAAATACGCTGCTGTGCAAAGAGGAATGCCGAAATTATGCTCCAAACAACCGCAATATAAATAGCACATAACGGCACTGCTGGAGGAAGTGGAACTCAGCCTTGTTTATTCAATCACAGACAACTGCATAAATCAGAGGGCAAATGATGGCATTTCTTGCAGATAAATCAAGGAAAATGATGCAGGTTTTTAACGTTTTCTGATTTGGTGTTATTTAGAGGGAAAAAAATGTAGTTTCTCATTAATCACACACGCACTCACTTGTGAAATTTGTTTGTCTACATAGCAAGTTCAAACAGTTTCGGTGCTAGCTGAGCAACATTTGGGTTCATTTTAGTGTGTCACAGCATAATGCAGGATTCATATTGTTTTGTTTTTTTTAACAATATGTTTTTTCTAGTAAGCATTGCATTTAATTGGATAAATGTAGTTCATATGTGTTTTTTTATTCAATAATGCCCAAGCACTTTGCTCTCTTTATCATTATTTACAGCAATGAACTGCCTGAAAAATGATGAAATTAAGACTAGCAAAAATATATTAATTTTACAGGTCTTATATATGGGGGGAGTTAAAACAGCTCCATAGCAACCCATACAAAAATCATGCAAAAGAGCCCCACTCCTGTATTTAATGTAGATTTATGAAATTTGGCACAACCATGTAACACCCTGTGATATTTTTAAAAAATCCTATTGAGGCCATGCCCTAAACCCAATAAAAATTCTATAATTTCCAAATTAGGTTTTGGGTCTACAATGTAACACCACTTAGTGGGAACAGGAAATTGTATGTTTTGTTCTCCTAACACAGGGGTCGGCAATCTCAGTCCACGGAGGCCGGTGTCCCTGCAGGTTTTAGATGTGTCCTCAAACCAACACAGCTGATTTAAATGGCTAAATTAGCTCCTCAACATGTCTTGAAGTTCTCCAGAGGCCTGGTAACGAACTAATCATGTGATTCAGGTATGTTGACCCAAGGTGAGATCTAAAACCTGCAGGGACACCGGCCCTCGTGGACTGAGATTGCCCACCCCTGTCCTAACAGAATAATCACATCTACATCTGAATAAACTTTAGATGTTGATGTTGCTTACTTTTAAAAGTAAAAGTGAGTTTT